GGTTCCCTAGAGTGCATTTATCTTTGTGAATATTACTTCCTGGTATCCTGATCTTGGCTTTTCCCTGGTTATTCCGAATTCTGGTTCCCTTGACTTGGCTTGTTTAAATGATATCTGAGTATTTCTGGCTTCCTTGACCTCGGCTTTCCCTTTGACCATTCTCTATCTCTAGCATATTAGTCCGGCCATTCTAAGGTCCGGTTTACGCTCTGTCCTTTTATTTCCTTTCCTTTTGTATGTACATGTTTACATAGTTTCTGTGTGTTGGACCACACTAGCAGCCGTGACATTACGACAGGGCCATGGATCCTAAGGAACTATGTAAACATATGATAGTCTGTGAGAACAGGGTGGAGGATATGGACCACAGGTTAGATCAGTTTGCCCAAGCGTTCCAGACCTTGCTCCAGAGAACTGCTTATCTAGAGGCACCCCCGGTACCACCTGTAGTTCTGCCACCTACACCTGCAGCTGTAGTATATAAACCTCCATCCATTACCCTTTCACCCCCCCTCATTTTGGAGGTGATTCTAAAGAATTCAGAGGTTTCCTTAACCAAATTGAATATCATTTCGAGGCTTCCCCTGGTTCCTTCCCTACAGATAGGTCAAAGATTGGCTATCTTATGAACCAATTAATAGGCAAGGCCTTAACCTGGGCCAATCCCTTATGGGAGAGTGGAAATCCAGTTGCCTGTGATTATAATGAATTTTTAACGGCATTTAAAGCCACTTTTGAGCCAAAGGGAAAAGAGAAAAACGCTGCCAGAGCCTTAATGAGAATAAAACAAGGCACCCGCTCTGTAGCCGATTACGCCATAGAGTTCAGGACATTAGCTTCTGAGGTTGACTGGACCAATAGTGGTTTGGTAGCTGTTTTTTGGAAGGTTTAGCGGAAAATATACAAGATGAAACCGCTGCCAGAGACCTTCTGGTTAATCTTAATGATTTTATTGCATACATGATTGACATTGACAACAGGCTCAGAGAGAGGGAGAAAAACAAACAGCGTACTAGACGTGCAAACTTGTCTATAGCCCCTCGTTTCTCTAACCCAGTGACTGTTAGTCATGCTCCACCTGCAGAAGCCGAACCCATGCAATTGGGCATTACCAAACTGACTGAGGCGAAGAGACAATACAGACGCAACGAGGGGTTGTGTCTATATTTTGGCAAAAGAGGACATCAGAGGTTTTCTTGTCCGGTTCGGCCGGAAAACTTGCACACCTAAAGCACGTTCGGGGACCGACCTTAGGTGTGATGTATATGTCCCCTAAATTGACTGAGAACCGCTTTCTTATAACAATCACTCTGTTTTGTAAGAAAACTACTGTTCAGTGTGAGGCCATAATTGACTTTGGGGCAGCGGAGAATTTCCTTGATAAGGAATTTTCTGCCAAACATCTTCTGCCTTTAAGTCAGAAAGACAGACCCATAGCAGTAGAGGCTATCGATGGGAGACCTCTTACTCAAACTCTCATCAGACACGAAACTATACCAATCACTGTCTCAGTAGGTTTCTTACATTCTGAAGAAATGGTTTTTCAAATTATATCTTCCCCTACATGTCCAATAATACTCGGTTTTCCTTGGCTCCAGAAACTTAATCCATGTCTAGATTGGGTTAATGGCGAGATTGTGAGTTGGGGAAAGAGTTGCAGAGGTCATTGCTTAAAACAGGTGCCTAAATGAATCGGTACCATCAATGTACCTATAGCAGCTCCCTTAACCACAGAAATCCCACTGCAGCATTTGAACTTAAAAGAAGTATTAACAAGGTTCAGTCGGAGGTATTACCTCCACATAGGCCCTACGACTGTGCCATTAATTTGTTACCTGGCACTGTGCCCCCTAAAGGAGGCGTTTATTCACTTTCTCCTCAAAAAATCCTTTGTTTAGAAAAATACATTAAGGATCAGAAGGGTCACATAAGAAGATCCTCTTCACCTGCTGGAGCTGGGTCCTTCTTCGTTTCTAAAAAAGAAGGAGACCTACGCCCTTGTATTGATTATAGGAGTCTAAATAAAATTACAATTAAAAACACCTATCCCATTCCCCTTATTTCTGAGCTATTTGATAGGTTGAGGGGTGCCCGAGTATTCACAAAACTCGATCTGAGGAGTGCATACAACCTAGTCAGAATTAAGGAAGGGCATGAGTGGATGGCCGTGTTTAATACGAGAATGGGACATTATGAATACCTGGTCATGCCGTTTGGCCTATGCAATGCCCCAGCGGTATTTCAGGACTTGATTAACGATGTCCTTAGAGAATATCTTCACATATTCGTACTAGTGTATCTAGACGATATTCTCATCTATTCCCCAGACCTAGAAACTCATCACGAACATGTGAGAATCATACTAAAAACCCTGTTAAAAAATGGCTTACACTGTAAGCTGGAAAAAGGTCAGTTTGACCAGACTGAGATACAGTTTCTTGGCTATGTTACATCCACTTCTGGTTTCAAAATGGACCCACACAAACTGGAAGCAGTCTCGCAATGGCCTTTACCCAAAGGCGTTAAAGCTACACAACGCTTTATAAGTTTTGCAAATTATTACCGTAAGTTCATTAAGATTTTCTCATCAGTAATCGCTCCTATTACCAACCTAACCAAGAAAGGAGCAAATTGTAATTTATGGTCCAAAGAAGCAAAGGAGGCATTTGAAAGATTAAAATCTTTATTTGCTTCAGCACCTGTCCTGACGCAAGCTGATCCGACCAAACCTTTTATTTTAGAAGTAGATGCATCAGAGACAGGAGTAGGAGCCATTCTGTCTCAAAGAGAGCGTCTTGATGCACCGTTACATCCCTGTGGCTTTTTCTCTCAAACATTAACTCCAGCAGAGAGAAATTCTGACATTGGGAATAGGGAATTACTGGCCATTGTTCTCGCCTTTAAGGAATGGAGGCATCTCTTGGAAGGTTCCAAAGAGCCACTTTTGATTTTTACCGATCATAAGAATTTGGCTTGTATTGGGGATGCTAAGTGATTGTACTTCCATCAGGCTAGATGGTCATTATTCCTCTCCCGGTTTAATTTTATAATTACATACAGGCCCGGGACAAAGAATACCAATTAAAGAATCCCTCTAAACGTACTAAAGTTCAAGCTGATAAGAAACGGGGTGCCAATCCTGTTTATCAAGTGGGGGACAGGGTTTGGTTGTCCACACGTCATATCAAACTCAAGGTTCCTTCCATGAAACTAGCTCCTCGATTCATTGGTCCCTTTCGTGTCCTCCGTCTTATAAACCGTCTTATAAACCCTGTGACTTATTCATTGGCACTCCCTGCTCATATGAGAATTGCTAATTCCTTCCATGTATCATTGCTTAAGCCCCTCACTTGCAATCGATACACAAAAATGATTGTTCCTCCTCCGCCCTTGATAGTAGGTAATCAAGAGGAGTATGAAGTCCAAACTATTTTAGACTCCAAGTTCTCTAGAGGTGTTCTGTCTTATCTGGTTGACTGGAAGGGATATGGCCCGGAGGAACGTAGTTGGGTTCTTGTGGACCAGGTTCATGCTCCCGTCTTGTCCGGTCATTTCACAACCTTTTTCCTCTCAAGCTGGCTCCTTCCCGCCCGGTGAACGGTCTTCGAGTGGGAGGTACTGTCACGGCCCCCGGCTCGCCGCCATGTGCATCTGTGCCTGACCGGCATGACTGCACCAACTCACTGAGCTTACTTGCTCAGTGGCGAGCCGGGAACCGTTTCTCCACGCCGCTCAGGGAAATCCAAGATGGCACCGACCATGAGGTTATGTCCATCCATGGCTCCACCCCCCAAAATTATACGAACGTGCGCGTGATGTCACAACGTCAATGCACACGCACGGTCTGGGGTCAGAGGTCACCCTCTGACCAATCAGAGCCTAGTGAGGGATATTTAAATCCCTAATTCAACCCAGTACCTTGCCCTGTCATGGTTTCCTGTTCCTGGTTCCCTAGAATGCGTTTATCTTTGTGAATATTACTTCCTGTGAAGGGAAGGGGTTAATGATTCTCATCTATAATTTCTGATATTATATTCTCTTTCTTAAGATTTACACAAGAGCTAAAAACTAGACAAACCACAGGTTATTTTTGATTTATCACTTCTGCTTTTGAATCAACAGACGCATCCGCAAAGTAACGTTGACCTGATGCTTCCGAGAAAAGTATCATGGAAAATAAGACATGCTTGACCACAAGAAATGTGGTCTTCTGCAAAAATCTGCTATTTCCGCTTTTATTTTGACCAATGTATGTCAAAGTTCATGATCAATACTGTATAAATATGCCATCCTTTTTATAATACACTTGAAGATCTTTGGAAAAGCAAACTGTGTGCGTGTTTCATTTTGCTCCATCGTTCTTCCCTGAATTCAGCCAACAACGGAGACCAGAGAACGCCTAAGTTGGACCGAGTCACTTAGGATAGAACTTACCTTTCAGCTTGGTGGCAGCGGTGGGATGTAGCCAAACCATTTCGGGTGAGTAGTAATTCCTTGTGTCTCTTTTGACACCCTGAATCTATGATCCCCATGGTTTTGTAAGTCTACATCTAGATTTAGGAAAGGTTATTTTATGTATACATGTATTGTGACTCAGTTTACATAAAGGTCCAGAGATCAGTCTAGTAAGGGAACTAGACCAGTCTAAGTAAGGGAACTAGACTGTAGTGTTTTAAGGTGCCTGCCTATAAAGAGATATAGGTGATTTATTAGTATATAAGTGAATATACTAAAGTTAGAGACAAAGTATATACAAGTATTTGAAACTTACCTTCTCTGGTCCCTAGTTGTCATCCTTTTGCTTAAGTGGGTTGTGAGTGTGAATAAGTGTTTGAAAGATTTGTCCTAGGAATGGGAAATTACCATGCAAGAATATAAAGTAGTTAACTTTTCTTGTTCATATGTATTTTATGCTTAAACAAGGTTTATAATCATTAAGTACTGACTGTAAGGATATGAAATAGTTAAACTCTTTTTGCTTTATATGCTAACCCTGAAAATATACTCACTGAGAATCTTGTTAAAGCACATTTGTAGTGTCCATGTCTTTATTGCAAACAATGATTCTCCATCAATTGGGTGATTGTCTATATTGGGGACACACTTTGGTAAGTTAGTAGTGTGTCCACCCTGAGTCAGCAGTATGGGAAATGTGAGTTCAGGTCCTGAGTGACCAATATATATATACACATATATATATATATATATATATATATATATATATATATATAAGATACCAGTACTGTATATTAGAAAAGAACTGGCTCGCAGGTTTTGCCTGATAGACCTACTTAAATCTTTTGCTTTATTCTTTCTGTCGCATAGAAGTATAAGTTTATTACTCTGCTTTATTGCAAGTTATTTCACATGGGATCTGTGTGCCTGGTATGATTGTTACTTTAATACCATAAGCCCACTACACTTTCTATGAGAGTGGGATAGTGTAAGTGTGTTGCATTGTTTGCATGATGAGCTCAGTATTTTTAGAACTGAGACAAAAAGTCACTTCATTAGTATTTGAAAGTTAATTCCCCATATGGGATTAATTGTATAGAACACCAATCAGCACATCTTCCATGCCCTGTGTGTTTGTTGCAGTGGATCCATACTGTAAATATGATTTTTGTTTGTAAATAAGAGCAACATTTACATTTTCAGCGGTCCAACACATGCTTCATTTTGCGCTGTAAACTAACCTTTTTATTGCAACAGATTCCTTTTAAATGATCCAGTGTAATAACTACTGCATATGTTTTGTGTCTTCTGTGTCTAACATTATATGTGTTATGTTCTTTTAAATTGTGGTATATAGCCTGGATCAGAGATCATGGACAAAGGTTTTTACCTGTGTTACTAAGGCTCTTGGAGACTGACCGGTCTATAAAAATTTTTAAGTCTCTGAGAGTTCTGTAAGATTCTGGTGAAACCATGTCTGTGTAATCTGGTCCAAATGTTTGCTCAATTTCTATAAGATTTAAGTTGATGCAGTATCATCTCAGGTTAGTTAATGGAAGTTTCATACAAATATTTGAGTTATGAGCGCGCTATATAAATGGATCCTTTCTCTATATACAATACTATAGTAGATTAAAGTAATGAAGTTAATAAGAATTAAAATAAATAAATAAATACAAAGTATACATAAGAATCCCTAAAATAAATCTAATACAAACTAAAATTGGTATACCTTACAATAATATGTTCTGAGTACAGCTGTTAACTGTTTATTCTGTGTAAATGGTGATTGTGATAATGTGTGAAGTGTGCAGCTTAACTGGAGAGTGGTTTAATTTATATGTTGCTGTGTTGTTTTAAATTATATTTGAATCAGTTTGTCTCAGTCTAGTGATACTGATAAAAATGCCAGTCAAATAACCTAGCAAATAACTGTTTTATTAGCTGTTGAATACTAGCGTTTTGGCCAAGAGTAGTTCTATGAGCTTAGAGAGGCTCTGTGTTGTGTTCTGATATAGCTATATGGGAATGGAGATTTGGAGGTGTTAGTTTAAGACTGCTTTCATATTGTGTCTACCCGTGTTTCCTAGGAGGGACACAGAGTGTGTAGTTGCGTGCCCATGAATGTGTTTTCTGTATTGGCATATCTGCTGGGTATCCATTATGTGTTTCTACTACGTCTGTTTTGTGAGATGTCTGTTTTGTGAGATGTCTGTTTTGTGAGATGTCTGTTTTGTGAGATGACATGTAATATTACATTGGATGCTGAGTATGAGTTATATGGTTTGAAATAAATTGGTGTGTTATGTGTTTCATGTATTTTATTGTCCATTGTGTAGGAGTTTAACTAGCAGAGTGATTTGCAAATCATTAACGCAAGCATTTAGTGTTTTTACAAAAGGTGAAATGCTGTCCAGCCGGCTAGAATGAAACAATTGTATGCTATCGCTCCTGGAGCAAGAAAAGCGCTTGTTACATCCCACGTGAAAGGGGCCCCGCAAACTTCTGCTGTTCAAATCGTGGATCCACGTTTCCATTTGCAAATTGATTAATCCTGAAAGTCATTCTTTTACTGATAAAAAGGATAAATGGACAAGATGTCTCTCCCTCATAAAGGAGTTCTAATAGGGGAGTATTGTCCAGCTCAGAGTTAACTCTACTTTTAAAGTATATTGCATTGTTTGTGTCAAAGTAAGATTCATCTAGAATGCCTCATTGATTATGGGGTAATAATAAAATGGTATTTTTAATAGAGATAAGACAATTTCGGAAATTTATAAGTGAGGTAATTTTAATCTCCTAAACTACTGTATTATATTTGTATGGGTAAATTGAAAGCATTTTGCAGATCCAGAAGAGGATTAATAAATAATATAATAATCTCACTAGGAGCCAAATTATGCAAAGAGGCTAACCAAAGTACGCACTAACGGGTTAAACTTGTTTTCTTGATAAGCGTATAACATTTAGTTTTGTGGTTAGATTTTTGATACTCAATTAGAAATATGTCCCAATTACATCCTTGCATGGCCCCAGGTACAGGAAGCAATATGTGTTTTAAAAATTTGCAAGGTCTTAGTGTTTTCAATATATTATAATAATGGAAAAGTACCTAACCGCATGTCTACATTATGCTCATGACACAGACTGTCAGTATTGCAAGCCCTATATGAAGGCTATGCCTATATGTATATACCCCTAGACAACCTTGCTTTATATAAAACCTTTTAAAGCTTATTAATAGTAAATCTGTGTGGTACAAAGAGGGGTACACAAAGAGGGGGTGTGAGTTAGGTAATCCCGACCTGCATATGGAATATGCTTCCTCTTTGTTCACTTTTGTTCCTTGTTGGTCTGTGACTGGCCCTTTTTGACCCCAAATGATTTTTTTGGGAAGATACAGCAATTGTGGATAGCAAGGTCACTGAAAAAATGAGTGCCCAAAACCACCCCCACAGATTCCTCAATATCAACCACAGCTTCCAATCTATACCCACACCCAACAGCCCCAGCCTAATACACAGGTGGTTCAGGTTTGTAATATTTTATATAGTTTTAGGTGTTAATCCAAGAGTATTGAATTATTCGGGATTATTAAAGTAATTAATTTTGAATATCAGATCAAGGTTCCAGTTTAGGAACAGAGTTTTATTGGGAATTATCCCCATATGTATATGTTAGTGTTTTAATATTCATCCTAACAAGGATTTCTATAGAGTGAGTGCTACTCTCATCCGTACAAAGGCATTCCAAAGAGGTATTATGTAAAACTTCATAGAAGACAGATTGCATAAAATATAAGAGAAGTACATGTTACACAAATTAAGGGTTTAACCTTAATCTCTAATTTAAGTTTTAGCCTAGGTAATTAATTCATGTTGTATTGATCCTTGTGTTTGTATGATTGTAGAGACCGTCCTGGAGTGTTTGTGCCGCCTGATTTCTGGGACTACACACCAATCTCTCTGGCTGACCATGCAATAAGTATTTTGCAATTACATCTGTTTGGTCATTATCCATGCAGGCCGAAGAAACTGAGATACTTATTTATGAGGACATAAACTTTGCACGCAAGAACCTGGAAAGTCCTGAAGGTGCAGTGCTGTCTAATGCCGCTGGTTCTGTAATAACCCTTTCAACCATTGGGGTGTTGCACAGAGCTTTGTGGTGAAAATCCAGCAAACAAAAGAAGAACTAAGAACTATTTGGAAGCTGACATTGTCTTGTTGTCAGCCATATTGCTACCCTTAGCCATTTTTATGGAACAAAATGTCTGGTGTCTAAACTAATTTCTTTATACTCTGTGAAAGACTTATTCTATTTTTCTGGACTATGCTGAACTATTGAACTCATTTTTTTTTTTTTTTTGTAGAGTTAGCCAGAGAGAGAGGAAGTGTTAGCTGACCCAGGGATGGATGTACTATGTGTATCTTTGATGTATGTTGAGTGTGCCAAGGATGGATTCCCATGTTTTGAGGAACTGCGTGAGGATATGACTGGTTTTGACTGGACTTTTGGAATAGCGAAAAGGTTAAAAGATATAGGACGCAAGGTCCTGGTTGTGATTATTGTCAGAATTTCAAGCTAGATTATAATTTATCTCATGAATTAATATGTAAGAAGTGTTTCCCAATTCCTCCCAATACCCAAGCTATGTACTCACAGGTGCGGGTATTATAAGTCATAAGTGGTGTCAACTGTGAGGGGATGACATGTCTAACACGATCGCGGCCCCCACTCAGGTTTTCCCTAAATGTTCTTTTTCCTCAAATATGAGTTTTTGCCACTGGGTTTTTGCCTGGCCATAGATCATCGGGTGGACTGGTAATCCTAGACCCGGGTCATTGGACGGGGGATAGGTATTATTCCCACTTTGACTATATGCGCCCACTTGCGTGGCTGAAGGAGGAAAACAACTATTGGGAATAATATACTTTGCCCATATTTACCTAGGGCTTATGATACAGATGGCATGTTGGTTAGTCTGTTTAAAATTGGTTAACATGTCAGCTATTTGCAATAATTATTGTTATGGTTCTGGTCCTTGCTCTACTTGTTTATGCTATTTTTAAGACTATTGTATTCTGCATTTACAAACATACATGCAACACTGTTCCTGTAAAATCCCCAGCTTGCTATGATGAGTATCTCCAAATGTATACACATAACCGAAGCAATGGTGAACATGCTGATACAGATCTATAAGTTTGTGGTACTGGTCAGATGACTAGTCCTATGCTATGGGAATAGTGGCCGAAGACATAATGAAAGACCTGCAGGATTGACTAGCAATCCTGAATATACCATGGCAGATGGCTGGTTGTCTGACCAAGACTCCTTAAATGGGGTATGAGCAAGGTCTTGCTCAAAGAGGGGAATGAAGGGAAGGGGTTAATGATTCTCATCTATAATTTCTGATATTATATTCTCATTCTTAAGATTTACACAAGAGCTAAAAACTAGACAAACCACAGGTTATTTTTGATTTATCACTTCTGCTTTTGAATCAACAGACGCATCCGCAAAGTAACGTTGACCTGATGCTTCCGAGAAAAGTATCATGGAAAATAAGATATGCTTGACCACAAGAAATGTGGTCTTCTGCAAAAATCAGCTATTTCCGCTTTTATTTTGACCAATGTATGTCAAAGTTCATGATCAATACTGTATAAATATGCCATCCTTTTTATAATACACTTGAAGATCTTTGGAAAAGCAAACTGTGTGCGTGTTTCATTTTGCTCCATCGTTCTTCCCTGAATTCAGCCAACAACGGAGACCAGAGAACGCCTAAGTTGGACCGAGTCACTTAGGATAGAACTTACCTTTCATCCTGGTATCCTGATCTTGTCTTTTCCCTGGTTATTCCGAATTCTGGTTCCCCTAACTTGGCTTGTTTAAACGGTATCTGAGTATTTCTGGCTTCCTTGCCCTCGGCTTTCCCTTTGACCATTCTCTATCTCTAGCGTATTATTCCGGCCATTCTATGGTCCTGTTTACGCTCTGTCCTTTTATTTCCTTTCCTTTTGTATGTACATGTTTACATAGTTTCTGCGTGTTGGACCACACTAGCAGCCGTGACACATTTTTACAGTTGGAGTTCAAGATCTTTTTAAATTTTGTATAATATATATATATATATATATATACATACATCCCAGGTCCCAGCACTCGATGCTCCCGGTCTTTTAATGCTCCAGTTTATAAAGTGAGAAAAACGCTCAGTAATATCCCCTTTAAATTACATACATATAATACTGGTTGCTATCTCACCAGCACTCTGGGACTTTATCCAAGATGTTTCACTTCTCTTTTTTTTTTTTTTAAATCTCCATGATCATCCAAACCAATCAACATTTAGGTTCCAAAAAGTTTCAAAAGGGTTGTCCCAAAGACAGTTCCTGTTGGAATTGAAATGTTTTGTTTTTTTTGGACCGAAATTGATTCAGCCACACCAAAGTCTGCAGACCTTTCTGGCTATTGGAATGTGGCCATGAAGTTTGACCAAACACGTTTATACATTTATACAGTTTGGGAGGCTGAAGGTATGTCACTTGCAAATGATAGGTGACTCAATCTACTCAAGATTCCCTGCTTGCTTGTTGGACATTTTGTTTTCCAATGAACCTTGCATGTATGTGGCCGCTCATGCATTCTACATTCACTTCTGAAATGTTTATAATTAGAATTACAATAATTTTTAGTTAGCTATTGCAATCTGATTTTAATTCTAAAACATCAAATTAACAGTTCTTTATAAAGGTAACTGCTCCGTGTGCTGTTATTGTGAAGGAGTAAGCATTGTAATCAACCACCAACTCATATATATATATATATGAAACCTTTTTGGTTTTTGCTTCCCAAGCACTACCAAGCTTCAATAAGCAAACCAGTAACCAACCTCATGCTGATGATTTGCATTAGCAATGAAACAGCTGTCCATGGGTGGATTACTGGCTTTGTAACTTTTCCCAAGTTGTGTTTCAAAGCAGTTGTATACAGCAAACACAGACTCAAAGCAATCCATGTTTAAAATGGAATGAGGTAAAAATGCAATTCTTTGTTAAACTAATTTTCATATGCCCACCCAGAATCCTTTGTGGTAGTAACATCACTGCAGATTTGTGATTTCTGTGGGAAAAGCGAGTCTTATGGCTTGACTGGTGTGCAGATTTTTGTTTAACATTGTATTAACTAACTATATATATATATACACACACATTCTGTCACAATACTCTGTTTTGAGAAGTTGTCAAACCCATTCCGTTGTATCTATCACTGCAATCATTCTGTAGGATGTTCCTTAAAATAACTCTAATTGTTGTAAAAACTCTTCATTTGGTAGAGGTGAACACTATGTCTTGCAATCTCTTGGGATGTCTTTTTTTGTCATTTGTGTAGATCACAGAATGGAAAGTTCCTTTGAGAAATCTTTTTATTGACCTTGAATACATTTTCATATATTAATCATATTTCTTTCCTTTAGAATAAACAAACCAATTTTGGTTAGTCTTTGTTTCTCTCCTTTATTGATTTTGTTACAATTCTCTGAATTTCTTTCAGTTCCATAATGTCTTTTTAAAAGACTATTTCCCAAAAGTGTACGCTCCGTGTATGACGTGGGGTCATACAGAGGATCTCTACAACGAGAAAACAGCTCAGTGACACTTTGTATAAACGGGTAACAACTTGATTAATAATACATCAATAATAATTTTCCGTATCAATTCTCAAAAACTTTATACAAATTAATTCTGCTTGTAACAGACATATCCATGAAAAGATTGTTTATCTTTGAAACATAACTTCAGATATTTTCTTCAATAGAAACGTCTTTATGGAAAATGACGGAACGACTTCTCTTTCCAAACTGGCTGAAGGTATTTTTTTTTACTAGGTTAACAATTGCACAAACTTGAAACTGATATCTGAATTTGACCCATTTTGCAATCTTTTCTATTTTCAGCATTTACTAAAGTGTATTAGGATACACATTTTTAGAGCAAACTAGAATGTGCACATTTCTGAAAATTGTTGAAATCTGTGCAAGGAACATGAATTCAGACATGTATCAAACAGTGAACTGTATCTGATTTCAACTCACCTGATTTTAAAGATGCATTCTGAAATTACAATTTTTTTTCCTCTGTCTAAGCAAAGTGTGAAATAACCATTATAGCTCAATGCATAACCTTAGTGATTTGAAAACATAGATTCTAAATATGTTTTTCTAAATATGTAAGGAGGATGAGGGATTTATAGTTTACGGCTGCAGAGTGGTCTAATGTTTAGCACTTGCCCCCACCACGTCTCCACTTTCAGGCCTCCTGATGGAAGATGGCAATAATAAATGTAAAAATGTATTAAAGTGAGTTGTTAGAATAACCCAGTCAATCACATTAGGCCTTCATATATATATATATATGTATATGTATATATATATATATATATATATATATATATATATATATATATTTAAAAATAAACTATTCATGTAGCTCTCTGAGTGTAAAGTTGTACTTTTGAAACTATTTTTAGCACATAATTTTATGTAGCTTACACTCACACTATCAGGAGAATTCACTAAACATTTGGACAAAATCTAGTGAAAATGACTAAATTCTGACAATTCTATTTATTGAAGCCAAATAAGTTTAAAATCCACTTGGATGCATTTGGCGATTTTGCATCTGAACCCTCTACAAAGTATAGCATAAAGAAGATTTACAAAGCATCAATTTTAACAAAATCTGGAACTAAATTCATCTGGTAAGATGCACATTCACAAATGATCATTTCCTTGCTTTTTTGCGACAAATGGAAGTACTATTTGCATGCTGGCAGTGCTAGCAGCCATTGGACAAATAGTTAAAACCTCTCAGCACTGTCAGGGTGATTGTGCAATGGCTGGAAAGCACTTGCTAGGAAGATGCCACAAAGTAGAAAAATAAAAATAAGAAAAAGGTTGGGGCATATTTTTTTTTTAAAAAGCGACTGGACAGTATTGCAGCTTAGTTGCTAGAAAGGACCAATCCCCAGGAAAATAACAGGAGGTTATCCCACCCCTTGACATCAAGTGTGGGGGGGTCTTTAAATCAAACAATGAGAGTGGACAGATTACATTAGGTCCTGCCGGTATAAAATGAGTAGCCTCCACCCGCTGACTGTGGGACAGGGGATGGGGGAGGGAAAGATTGTTTCCTCCTGTTTTTATAAACTGCACAGGTCCCATGGGACATTTTTAAATTTCACCTCATTTTTTCATTTAAAGTCCTCCACATTGAATGAGGCCTTTCCAGCGACGAGGCAACAGTGGTTGCCTAACCACAAGTTTGAATTATTTTCCCTTTATGTAGGATCCTGGTCCAGATTTTAGCCATTCAGTGGCGTTCGGCGTTCTGCGTTCTGAAGACCCACAGCCAGATGGTTTTGCTCTGTTCAGTATGAGGCCATTCGGAATTTAGTGAATAACATTGTATATATATATATATTTTTTTTTAAACTATTTTTTTATTTACTACCTAGTAAATATTCTAAATGAAACAGATTTCCCATATGTTATAGCAGACATTATAAAAAGTCTTAAATGTGTATGTAACTAGTCCAAAAAGATTAAGTGGAAGAAACTAGTTTCAAGTTGGTTAGTGTTTCAAGATACGTAGATCAGTAAACTAATTGTTAAACTGATTTCAAGATTTGTTCAGTAATTACGTAGTTCTAATTAGTTTCATAATAAAAAATATGTTTGTTACAATATACTAGTCAGAAGATGGTTAGCATCATAAACTAGTTCTGGGAGGTTTAAAGTAATAAACTTCTTCACAAATGACAAGCATAATAAACTGGCTTCGAGATTTTTACTATAATTAACCAGTTCTAAGGTGTTCGACGTAATTGACTGATTCATTTTAAGAGCCTATTAAATGTGATATGTAATACAGCGAAATACAATACCTTTTTTAGTTTCCATTGAAGATATAGTGTTTATTGTACAAACGTGGCCCAAGTTGACATCATTTCTAATGCTCTATAACAGTATACTTTGTTTTATCTATATTCTGGTAGAACACTCTCTATAATAAACTCTTAGACACCAATGTACATATATCTAGCTAGATCATAGTAGAGTAGCAGATGTATAAAATAATTAAGAAGACCTAATAGAAAATTAAAAGAGCAAAGTATATCATGCATTTCTATAAACTCACTTGCGTTGTATTTCTTGCTGTAAAATATTTTTTTCAGTCTTATAGAAACATGATTTGCGATGCAATAAAGTAAAAAATCCTAATTTTCTGTCTTTTATCTTTTTTCTCCCTTTCTTTTCCTACACCTCTTTGGCCTTGTCAAAACATATCGTTTAGTTAGAGACTAAAAATATTTTTCTATCGATTGAGGTTATTGATTTTTTAATCTGTACTTTGGCTTAGAGAGTTTGGGTTAAAGGTTAAAGTTCACTGGCTTAGTCCA